ATCAGTATTAGTGTCACAGAGGTAAAAAAACAGCTCAGCAGACGCGTGTTTCTCCTCATGCTGTCTGTAGTAACTAACAAGACAGAACTCAGACTGTGTTAGTGCTTTTGCTGATGTATTATTAATAATCCTTTGTGCAGAGCAGGATATTAATAATCTTCTTTGGCTAGTAAAAATTCTTGTCCTAATGGATGTATAGATTCTCAAATGTTTTCAGAGCATGATGAAAAAATGATTTCATAAATAATACAAGAACTGCAGTTAACAAGTGCTGAGAATATAATATATATATATATATTCTCAGCACATGAGTGTATACATTTCTATCATGTCAAATTGGAATAATTACATTTTTTAAAATTGTTTTTGAAAGAAGTCTCTTTGAAAGAAGCTCACCGATGCCGCATTTATTTACAGCAACAACAGAAAAAATTTTTAAATATAAATTTTTTATAAATATGAAGCAGCAACTGTTTTCAACATCGTTAATAATCAGAAATGTTTCTTGAGCAGCAATCAGCATATTAGAATATTAGCATATTAGAATGTGACACTGAAGACTGGAGAAATGATGCTGAAAATTCAGATTTGATCACAACAATAAATTACATTTTACAATATATTCACATAGAAAGCAGCTATTTTAAATAATAATAATATTTCACAATACTTCTGATTTTACTGTATTTTTGGTCAAATAAATGGAGCCTTGGTGAGCAGAAGAGACTTCTTGCAAAAACATTAAAATAAAAACTTTTGACCAGCACTGAATGTATATACTGTATCTATATATCTATCTATATACATAGTGTTATTAACAACAGACTTAAAGGGGTCATCGGATGCCCAGAATATAATATATATATATATTCTCAGCACATGAGTGTATACATTTCTATCATGTCAAATTGGAATAATTACATTTTTTAAAATTGTTTTTGAAAGAAGTCTCTTTGAAAGAAGCTCACCGATGCCGCATTTATTTACAGCAACAACAGAAAAAATTTTAAAATATAAATTTTTTATAAATATGAAGCAGCAACTGTTTTCAACATCGTTAATAATCAGAAATGTTTCTTGAGCAGCAATCAGCATATTAGAATATTAGCATATTAGAATGTGACACTGAAGACTGGAGAAATGATGCTGAAAATTCAGATTTGATCACAACAATAAATTACATTTTACAATATATTCACATAGAAAGCAGCTATTTTAAATAATAATAATATTTCACAATACTTCTGATTTTACTGTATTTTTGGTCAAATAAATGGAGCCTTGGTGAGCAGAAGAGACTTCTTGCAAAAACATTAAAATAAAAACTTTTGACCAGCACTGAATGTATATACTGTATCTATATATCTATCTATATACATAGTGTTATTAACAACAGACTTAAAGGGGTCATCGGATGCCCATTTTCCACAAGTTGATATGATTCTTTAGGGTCTTAATGAAAAGTCTATAACATACTTTGGTTAAAATGTCTCAATGGTAGTGTAAAAATAACCCTTTTCACCCTGTCAAAAACAGCTCTGTTCATATCAAGCCGTTTTGTTGAATGTTCCTTTAAATGATAATGAGCTCTGCTGACCCCGCCCCTCTCTTCCGTGGGGCGACGTGCAGACTGTAAACTTTAGCTACATTTACTTGTTAACTAGCACATATTAGGAAAGGTGATTTGCAAAGATTCATAAAAAGCCCTTATACTCACTTCTTCTGTAGATGAAGCTGGATCATGAATGATTTGCGCGAACATAGACGCATTTAGGTAGATCGGGGCGCATTCCCTTCAGAAATGAAAGTAACGTTAATCCACTGCGTCTTTAGCGGATGTCGGGAGTAAATGACGACTGCTATATGTTCATTATTACATCCAACAACAGAACTCCTCAATCACTTAATCGGAGACATTCTTGTCTACATCTGCTCCGGAGTCGACACAATGGCGGACTGATGACAGCTCAGTCAGGGCGGGTCTAAGGTAAGACGGCCTTGTCAATCAACTATCGTGGGAGGGGCCTGTGCAGAACTACGTCATTCTGCCAGGAATCTCAGAACAGCCTGATTTGAGAAAGGGGATTTTAAAATAGGGATTTTAAAAAAAGCACTGGGCGGATTTTTATCATTATAGGGTGGTTGTGTACACACACTGCCAACACACATTTATGTTCAAACAACATGTAAAGTGAATTTTGCATCCGTTGACCCCTTTAAATGTAATTTGTTCATCTTTTTACTTCGCACTTTTTAAATACAATCCGAATAAATGTTGTTCACTTACTTGAGATGAAGAATCAGTGTCAGTGGTCTAGAAAAACCTGTTTTATTTTTGTACACCACATGATCCGTCAAATGATCGGATTAATATTACTCACTGTAACCACCTGGCTGTGGAATGAATCAATCAATCCTGTGAAGAACTGAAAAGTTGCAAGTGAAGATGCCACAAAGTCTCCACATACAGACGGCTGGTGCAACATCAACAAACACATCTTCACAGATGTGAGCTGTAAATAAAATTCATTCTTGTGTTTGTTCTGAACGGCTCTGGCTGTCAGTTACCTATTTTTGTCGTTGCTGTTTGTTACAGAAGCAGCAGAAATGATTCAAATGTCACTCCTGAGTGAAACCCACAGCAGAAAACGTCTCTTCATGATGTGGGCTAAATCATCTGTGACTTAAAAATGAGTGAATCTTACAAAATCCACCTAGAAAATTTCCAGACTGTATTTTCATCCTTTGTACATTTTTTCTTTTGATTTTGAGGTGAAATCAGTAGAAATCTTGTGAGATTCTCATACTGAAGTTGAAGTTAACTTTGAGATTTAAGACGCTCGTGGCTGTGATTTTTTTTCAGTCATATCACAACAGCCATTTAGTCATAATCGGGTGTTTTTCTCCGTCAGCGTCGCTCAGCCGCACAGCTTATTATACACCATTTCTTTCAAATCGCATCAAAGGCATTAGCATTTCAGAAAAGAAAACTCCAGCTGCGTCCAGAGAGAGTCAGAAAGCGTGTGGGAACGTTCCAGTGTTTTGTTTTTCACACATGGCTGACAGAGACACTTTGTTCATGTATGATCCTGTGGATAGCGTGCTGCTTTAGTATTTGACAACATGATTTAACGTCACTCACTTTTGACCAAAAGGACAGAGAAAACACATCAAAAAACATTCTTGAAGGAAAGGTTGACCCAAAAATGAACATTTGATGAAATTTTACTCACCCTCAGGCCATCCAAGATGTAGATGAGTTTGTTTCTTCATCAGATTTGGAGAAATGTAGCATTGCATCACTAGCTCACCAATGGATGCTCTGCAGTGAATGGGTGCCGTCAGAATGAGAGTCCAAACAGCTGATAAAAACATCACAATAATCCACAAGTAATCCACGCCACTCCAGTCCATCAGTTCACATCTTAAGAAGACAATATCTGCATGTTTGTAAGAAACAAATCCATCAATAAGATGTTTTTAACTTCAAACTGCTGCGTCCGGCTAAAATACAAGTCCTTAATCCATAATAATAGTGCATCTCCTGTTGTCTCTCTCGTCAAAATCCAGCCACATATTTGTTTAGAGCTGTTTTGGCTTGTAAACAGTGCTTGATCTGTGCAGATTTCTCTCCTGATTCACACCAGAACACTTTTTCACTGGAAGAAACATTGTTTTGGATTACAGACTCATACAAAAAAAACAAAAAAACATCTTGATGGATTTGTTTTTTCCAAACACGCAGCTTTTGTCTTCTCCAGATGTGAACTGATGGACTGGAGGGGTGTGGATTATTGTGATGTTTTTATCAGCTGTTTGGACTCTCATTCTGACGGCACCCATTCACTGCAGAGCATCCATTGGTGAGACACTGATGCAATGCTACATTTCTCCAAATCTGATGAAGAAACAAACTCATCCTAATCTTGGATGGCCTGAGGAGTGAGTAAAATTTCAGCAAATGTTCATTTTTGGGTGAACTATCACTTTAAATATCTATGAAATCATAATGCACTTTCTTTATCCTGTTTTGACCCAATTTTTTATGTTTTACTTGTAAAATGGAATGGAAATATGTAAATAAATGGGTAGCGTAAACAACTTTCATGTTATTAAGAGACAAAAAAAGACCAGAGACACAAATTGTCCACAATAAACAACTGTCATAGGATGTATTTTTTGTTCGAAGTGGCAAATCACTGAGAAAAGCACGGGCAAAAAGTGATAAATACGGAGCGTACAGCCTTTTCCACAAAATCTGAAGTCTTTTGCACGAACGCATGTATTCACAACAACACCGCATTCGCCTACTCACACATTTATTCCGATTTAATTATACAATGATCGCTTCTTTGACTCCGTTAAACATAATACTGAGCACTTAATCGTTCAAAGGCAAAAGGAGAAGATGACATTACAAAGTTTCATTTCAAAAGAATATTTACAACCAATGCATGTCATTATACACACCTTAGAAACCGTACCATTGTGCCAAACCTCTGGACAATAACTGTTTTATGTACAAAAAGGGCAAAAACGGAGGGACGCGTCACTCCACTTCAGCAGCCCCAGTCTCTCGGTCGGTTTCCCATAATGCACCGTGAATGTTAATGTCCCTAGACTCGACAAGGCATTTCAGTCCGTTGGTTTAACTGGATTAGTCCGATACGAGGTGAAAGAGCGTCATATGAAATACTCTTTTTGGTTATCACTGATAATGCTCTGTGAGTTCGGATCCGTGTTAAAGGGCATTTCGGGACTGTCGTCGTTTTTGCCTGCTTTGGGCTCTTGGGGCTGAAACGTTTCTTTCCGCCGGTACAGGAATCGTGCCATCACAGCCAGCGCGGCCAGACTCACAAATATCACGACGGCAATGACACCTGAAAAACAGAATGTCATTATACACACCTTAGAAACCGTACCATTGTGCCAAACCTCTGGACAATAACTGTTTTATGTACAAAAAGGGCAAAAACGGAGGGACACTTCAGCAGCCCCAGTCTCTCGGTCGGTTTCCCATAATGCACCGTGAATGTTAATGTCCCTAGACTCGACAAGGCATTTCAGTCCGTCGGTTTAACTGGATTAGTCCGATACGAGGTGAAAGAGCGTCATATGAAATACTCTTTTTGGTTATCACTGATAATGCTCTGTGAGTTCGGATCCGTGTTAAAGGGCATTTCGGGACTGTCGTCGTTTTTGCCTGCTTTGGGCTCTTGGGGCTGAAACGTTTCTTTCCGCCGGTACAGGAATCGTGCCATCACAGCCAGCGCGGCCAGACTCACAAATATCACGACGGCAATGACACCTGAAAAACAGCACAGCGACACGCGAAATAGTGAGGAGACTCTGGACAGCAGAGCTAGACGATATGACTCAATTACATTTCTACATCTTTGGATAATGAAACATGCAAAATGGACATGGTTGACTAACTTTTGAAAAAAAAGAAAAAGAAAAAAAAACGTAATATGTATTAGAAAAAAAACGTATATGTATTATATTATAATATGTATTAATTGAATAAAAAATATATAACTTAATTAAAACAAAGAATTCATATCTGTAGTTATGATTATAATTCAACATTGGATGTAAGCACTGTAAAAAAAAAAAGGAAAACAATTGGGGGTTATTAAAATAAATAATATTGAGAATAAACACAAATTAATATAATGTATTTATATTTAATATTAATTATTATATTTATATATATAATATAATATTATAATTAATTATTTATTATATATTATATAATACAATTAATATTATTTATTCATTATTGTATTAATATTAATACAGATATATATATATATATATATATACACATGTAAATAAAAATATATAACAAATTTAATGAATATACATTAAACTAAAAAACAAATAATAATTTGTAATGAAAACCAAAGAAATTCCATATTTATAGTCCTTGATGATAATTCAACATTTGATGTAATTTGATGGAAATTAATGTAAATAAAATCTAAAAATAAAATATATTTATATGCAAATATATTTAGAAATATTTATATGATTTAATATTCATATAAATTTATATTAATACCAATACTAATATGTGTAATATATATTATAAATTAATATATATGAATACAAGTAAATTAAATTAATATAAAAATGTACAATTTGTAATCAAAACTGAAGAAATTCCATATGGTTTATGGTGATAATTCAAAATGAGTTTTAGCCACTGCAAAAAAAAGAAAAAAAAAGAAATTAATAATGTCAAAATACTAATTAACAATTTTTTAAATATTTAATATTAATATGAATATGGTAAACATAGGTACAAATATTACAAATTAATATTTTTTTAAATCTATCTATATCTATCTATCTATCTATCTATCTATCTATCTATCTATCTATCTATCTATCTTCATTAAAACTGAAAGAATTCCATATCTTTGGTGTACAGTGATAATTCAACTTTGGATAAATACTGCCAATAAATAAATAAATAAAATCTTGAACTTAACGAGGTTTCATTGAATGGTATAAAATAGTCTAAGTGGAATAAAGCATTCAAGAGTAATCACCTAAATTGGTCATTTAGTGGCGGGTGACTTGCAGACGTGGCTTTTAGTGCCACAAAATGTCTTAAAGTTCAGCTGCCGGACGGTCAGAGGCGTTTCTGGAGGGTGAATCCAGACCTCACGCCGACATAACGCCACAATCAATCCTAATTTAGATGCCATTAGCGCCATTTTTTTAAAGCTGCTAAATACAGACTATCAATAAAGGCCAGAAAGTTGGCAAAAAACCTGGCGTCTGGCGCTCTGATGGTCTCATTACGCCATCAGACGTGTTGTGAATGCTGCTTCGTCTCAATTCTACTCGCTGTCAGAGCCTCTAAAATGTTTCTCTCTTTTGTGGCCGGTTAACCATGGCACATTTAATTATAAAGGGTGAAAGAAATGTCTAATTGAAGCGCCAAAATAAATCTCAACTCAATTTAATGCCACATTACGGTGGCTGTGAAAAGGACAAAGTGTGTTTGGGATTGTAGCAGAAGCCCCTTAATCAGCAAATAATTTCTTTAAATGTTTAATTAGTTTTGGAGGCCTATTTACCGATAGCTTTGGAGAAGTCTTTATGTTCGGTCAGTGTGAACGCAGCCGTTAATCAGTCATTATTGAGGGCCGCTGCCGGGTTGGAGGTTTTCTGATTAGTTTTATGGAGTCTTTTAAATGCACACGGAGACTGAAGTTCACTTTGCATGACAAATCATCTGACGTCTTTGTCATTAAGTGCAATTTTTAGCTCACAGATTGTAAATTGACTCTTAAAATGTTGTTCCAAACCTGTATGACTTTCTTTCTTCCTGGTGAACGCAAAAAGAGATGTTTAGCACAATGTTGACGCTGCTCTTTTCCATACAGTGACAGTAAACAGGTGCGTAATCTTTCAGAAAGCATCACACACTGAAATAAATTTTCATTCATAACTTGCTAGTAAAATTTCACAAATAATGACAGAAATTCAAGTAACACACTGAATTAGACCGAAATTAGACTGAAATAAAGACTCAAATAGCCTTTTTTTTGTAAAACATACTCCAGTAATTTATTGTTTTTTAAAAATGTATTATTAATTATTATAAATTATTTAAATAAGTGTATGACCTTAGAAGACTTATGGACTACAATGCAAAAAAAATCATAATTTTGACGGTAAAAATACTGTAAAAAACCCTGTTAATTGGTTCCTTACAATATATGTAGTGAATATATCATTTTAACATTCATTTTGGCATTTTTAATATCATTTTACAGAAAAATACTGTAAAATGTACAGTTTTTGGAAGTGAAAAAGAATAAGTCATATTATAATTCAACGTCAATTTACATTTCCAGAATTATGTGTGACTCTTCAAATTTGATGAGATTACGATTTTATGTTACATCGTATGTTGTTAAATAAAATAATAATGTTTATGCATTATTTTAATAATGTCAAAATACTAATTAACAATTTTTTAAATATTTAATATTAATACGAATATGGTAAACATAGGTACAAATATTACAAATTAATATATTTTTTTAAATCTATCTATCTATCTATCTATCTATCTTCATTAAAACTGAAAGAATTCCATATCTTTGGTGTACAGTGATAATTCAACTTTGGATAAATACTGCCAATAAATAAATAAATAAAATCTTGAACTTAACGAGGTTTCATTGAATGGTATAAAATAGTCTAAGTGGAATAAAGCATTCAAGAGTAATCACCTAAATTGGTCATTTAGTGGCGGGTGACTTGCAGACGTGGCTTTTAGTGCCACAAAATGTCTTAAAGTTCAGCTGCCGGACGGTCAGAGGCGTTTCTGGAGGGTGAATCCAGACCTCACGCCGACATAACGCCACAATCAATCCTAATTTAGATGCCATTAGCGCCATTTTTTTAAAGCTGCTAAATACAGACTATCAATAAAGGCCAGAAAGTTGGCAAAAAACCTGGCGTCTGGCGCTCTGATGGTCTCATTACGCCATCAGACGTGTTGTGAATGCTGCTTCGTCTCAATTCTACTCGCTGTCAGAGCCTCTAAAATGTTTCTCTCTTTTGTGGCCGGTTAACCATGGCACATTTAATTATAAAGGGTGAAAGAAATGTCTAATTGAAGCGCCAAAATAAATCTCAACTCAATTTAATGCCACATTACGGTGGCTGTGAAAAGGACAAAGTGTGTTTGGGATTGTAGCAGAAGCCCCTTAATCAGCAAATAATTTCTTTAAATGTTTAATTAGTTTTGGAGGCCTATTTACCGATAGCTTTGGAGAAGTCTTTATGTTCGGTCAATGTGAACGCAGCCGTTAATCAGTCATTATTGAGGGCCGCTGCCGGGTTGGAGGTTTTCTGATTAGTTTTATGGAGTCTTTTAAATGCACACGGAGACTGAAGTTCACTTTGCATGACAAATCATCTGACGTCTTTGTCATTAAGTGCAATTTTTAGCTCACAGATTGTAAATTGACTCTTAAAATGTTGTTCCAAACCTGTATGACTTTCTTTCTTCCTGGTGAACGCAAAAAGAGATGTTTAGCACAATGTTGACGCTGCTCTTTTCCATACAGTGACAGTAAACAGGTGCGTAATCTTTCAGAAAGCATCACACACTGAAATAAATTTATTCATAACTTGCTAGTAAAATTTCACAAATAATGACAGAAATTCAAGTAACACACTGAATTAGACCGAAATTAGACTGAAATAAAGACTCAAATAGCCTTTTTTTTGTAAAACATACTCCAGTAATTTATTGTTTTTTAAAAATGTATTATTAATTATTATAAATTATTTAAATAAGTGTATGACCTTAGAAGACTTATGGACTACAATGCAAAAAAAATCATAATTTTGACGGTAAAAATACTGTAAAAAACCCTGTTAATTGGTTCCTTACAATATATGTAGTGAATATATCATTTTAACATTCATTTTGGCATTTTTAATATCATTTTACAGAAAAATACTGTAAAATGTACAGTTTTTGGAAGTGAAAAAGAATAAGTCATATTATAATTCAACGTCAATTTACATTTCCAGAATTATGTGTGACTCTTCAAATTTGATGAGATTACGATTTTATGTTACATCGTATGTTGTTAAATAAAATAATAATGTTTACTAATTATTTTAGTGTTGTATTTGTTATCATGACGGTGTTTTGCAATTGTGTCTTTACCACCCGTTTTTATGGCAGCTGTCAGTATATTATATGATATATGAATTGTATGAATCAGATTTTAATCTCTCAGTAGGTTAGTATTTTGACATTATATCAGTTTATGAGTTTTTGTTGTTTGTAAATTTAAGTTCCATTTTCTAAAACTTGAAATGCTAAAAT